CACTCTCCTTGATGCCACTTGGCTCATTCCAGATTCCTCTCGTTTATCTACAATTTCTCTCTCCAACAGTGGGAAACTTGGCTCCCACCTGCCACCACCCATTTACTTACTCCCTGGATCCCAGTCCATACCTGCAGCAGTTCCAGCATTTCTAACCTGTGTGTACCTGTGATGCCACACACTTGATTCTTCTGTCCTTTTTCTGTTCTTCTCCACTGGCCATTCACTGTATTCCCTGAAAGGAAGCCATATGGCCCAACTGTGAACCTTGTAAAGATCTCCTTCTCTGTTGCACACAGTATAGCAGGGGGTTGTTTGCTGTGGCATTATTTAATACACATTAATTCTTTGTTTTTGTTGTTATGGGGCTTCATAAATGGAGGCACACTAACCCTCAAATGTTTAAGTGTGTTGAGAGAAAGTCAAGAGCATCTTTACCACCTGTTTTTTTCCTGGGGTGGGTATCAACCTGCCTCTAGTGGTTACTGGGAGGCTTTCACTGAGGTTCTTTTCCAAGTCAGCTTTTAGCTACAACATTTACAAGATGAAATACTGCAGGGCACATGTGCCTCACTTTTGCAGTGGCTGCGATAATTATGTGTGGAGGAAAATGAATATCAGAAATGTCACGTAACACTAAATATTATAAAAATACTGCAGACTCTTCCTATGAAATGGATTTAGTTTTCCTAAGAAGCTCTGTCATTCCATTATCAGTTCTCAGGAGGAAAGAATAGTCAAACCTGTAATTTATTTTATATGACAAATACTTAGCCTCATTTATGTTTGGCCTTGTATTCACATTTACACTGAAACTGTGTGTGATGCATTTGTATTTAAATGAGAGGTAAAATTTGCATGTATTCTGTGAAATCTTACTCATTGATAGTATGGGGAGGTTTTGCTAAGGGTGGGATTCTCTCAGTAGGAAAACAGGTTTAGCCATTTTATCTGAAATCTCCATACTCGGATAACTAAGGACTATCTTGAGAATACTGCATTTTAAAAATGTAGATCTCTTATGTGAAAGGGAAGTTCTAATGATCCAGGCAAGTATGTGAAAGTAGAACAAAAAAGAACAAGGGAAACGGTCAGGCAGTGTCAGCTTCCATCTGGGGTGTACCCTGTCATTTGTCCTCCTCTGTGTGTAAATGCAAAATTCACTGGGTGCAATGTGACAGAACTTACAGGAACTTTCAAATGGATGTTCACGGTGAATCGGTTTAGAAGAAAAGTTAAAGAAATAGCAAAGGCATCACCAGGATCCTGGGTGTCTAAAGAGAGGCGAGTTAATATTCTTGAAACTACTCAAAGCAGGGAACAGTCCTCTTCATGCTTTGAGAGAAATGTGGTTTGATCAATGGGGCCATTATAGGTGTGGTTTGCTACAACAGCCCAGCAACTATAAAAATCACAAGTGAATTCATTCCATCAGGAAAAAGGGGTATGTGAATGCACCCCTGGGCCAGTGGTGTGGCCACTGGCCCAGGCCCCTTCCAGAATTAAGGTAAAGATAGAGCTATAAATGCACCATAAAGACAGTGAGACTTGATTTCTTACATATTACTAAATTTAACATTAAGGTTTTAGTGTCACTCATTAACCACCTCCTTCCATCTGTACATTTGGTACCTTCTATCCTCTAGGGAATTATTTATATGTTGGTTTTGTTGCTTATTTGTTTACAGTAGAAAACCAGATTGTGCATCACTGTTTCAGGTGGAAGGCAGAATTCTTATTGCATATCAGGGCATTGTGTGACACATTGCAATGTGTGACTCAGGAAGTGAGGCTCCCATTCCAGCGTACAGAAACAAGGCGATATTTGCTGGGGCCCTGGAAATGAATTTGAGACAGAAACTTTAATCCCTCTACTTGCAGCCTTTTATATTTCACAACATTTAAATTGTTCAAAATGAAGCTCTTCCATGCGGGTTCAGTATAAAGGAGAGAAAGCACACACTTCCTCCCTGGCTTTGCTCCCTAGTCACGAGAGGCAGGGAGCAGAAGTAAAGATTTCACTTGAGTGTGCTTGGCTTTTAAACAAGCCCCCACCAACTCTGTCTGTAGGGTTCTGACACTTCAGGAAGAACCAGTCAGGACAAGACCTGCATTTGCAACTTAAAATGTTCAGTGTCTGGACTCCTCTGCCCAGACAACTTCTGAAGTTAGGGGGTACTTCACGAGGCAAGAGTGGAATCCAGTTGTGCTTATTTGGAAGAAGGCATAAGGATTTAGGATTTGGTGTCTGTTGATTGTCTTCTTTCACTTGGCTTGAGATTGTCATGGTTCCTGGAATGTCAAGTGATTTTTTTTATTGAAACTTGAACTTTTTCTGTACTGTGTTCTGTCCTGGGATGCTAAATCTTGTTGAAACTTCCTGCTTTCACTGTCTGGCACTTTTCCAACAAGGAAGCAGTGAGTGCCACTTTGTCACTTACGAGGTAAAAATCCAGATTTCCCACTCTCTCTTGACACATGGTGGTGGTGGGGGCTCCTGACTGTTGGGTAGAGGTGGAGTTTCCAGAGCCCCCGCTTCACCTGGGGGAGGGTGGCCCTGGTCCCGGGTCCCCGTGAGGTGGTTAGACACCACCCAAGTGGTGGAGGAGGGGAACGGCACTTGGCTGTGCAGGGTGGAAATCCACTGTCCATACGTGGGCTCCACTAACACTAGGCACTGCGGCCCTGGCTCTCGCCTTGACCTTGGGTGACACTACCGTGATGGAGTACTAGGGCCCCTTCTTGGGTCCTGGTGAAAGTGGGAGTCTGGTTTGCACGCTCAGCTTTGCTGGTCTAGATGTCCACGGTTTCTTCTGAGGTGTTTAGCCAGAGCAGAATGACTGCCGAAAAACTTTCTGTCTTGCTAGGCTGCCTATTTCCTGGCCTTACAACTAGAAAGAGCAGGATTTGCTGATATTCTTTTGGTCTGTGCCCAGCAACTCGATTGTTGACTTCTCCAGCTACAAGTATGGAAACTATGAGGCAAAAAAGAAGGATGTTGTTTCTTAGGCTCTGAGATCTCAGGCTGGTCGGCCTTCTCCTGACCTCACTGAGTCTCCTCTTCCTCTTCCTCTTCCTCTTCCTTTCCTGTCCCACTCTTCCTCTTACCCTACCCTGTCTCCTCCTGTTTAATACAGGGTATATACTCCTATATACAGGAGTGTTTAAAATGTCACGTATTTAGCAATGAGGCTGCTTCAGCTTCTTAGGAGAGGTTTTTAGTATTCAGGTTTTGTTTTCCCCCAGACAGATGAAGGACTCTCATCCTACCTGCAAATCCACACCTAGCTCCAACACTTACCACCTTGTGCTGTTTTACTTTACTGATACTTACCTAGCTTCTCTTTCCACCTATTTGTGTATTTATCATTTTGATGGCTACCAGAATAATTCACCTCTAAATGCTTCACAATGCCTAAAATTAGACTTCACTCTCTGATTTTTCCAAGGTAAATTTTACATAAAGTAAAATTATAAAATCTGTACATACCATTTGATTAATTTTACATAATCCAACTGTTCCTGAGATGAATTCTACTATTCTAGAATGTTCCTCAGGCCCCTCCTCAGTTGTCTTCCTTCTTATTCCAAAAGGAATTACTGTTTTGATTTTCTTTCTTTATTGGAACTATCTAGTATGCGTTTTTTCTGTGTGGATTTCTCAGCAAGACATTTTCCACATGCATTCACGTTGTTTATATTGCTGGTTTTATACAGTGGAATTAGCAAGAGGATAAGAAGATCTAAGTAAGGGCTAGGGATTTAGCTCAGCGGCAAAAGCGCCTGCCTGGCAAGTGTAAGGTCATGAGTTTGATCCCCAATACCAAAAAAAAAAAGAAAACCTAAGTAAGTGGACTCTGTATTTGCTCCTTCACATATTTTATTATGAAAGCTTTCAAAAATAGAGAAGATAAAAGATTTCCCTCCCCACCAACTAATTTACCACTTAGATTCAACAGTTAATATTTTGCTGTATTTTACCTTATTGCACATTTATCCATCTGCTTTTTTTAAGTCAAGTGCAATTTAATTGAATGAATAACACGATCATTTACCCATTTTATGCTGCTTGCAGTTCACTGCATGAAAATTTGGTATTTAGGGTGTAATATAAGTCATTGCTATTTCTTTTCTGTTAGGAACTTAAGATTTCATGCCTTTTTATGATTAATAGAATGGTGAAGGCAGACACAGATTTTTTGTTAGTTGTTTCCTTTGTCATCCTAGGGACTGAACTCAATTGCTTGCTCCTATGAGCTACATGTCCACCTACACCTTTTAATTTTTAATTTTGTGACAACGTCCATAAGTTACCCAGGTGGCCTCAAACTTGCAGTCAGCCTGCAGAGCGGCTGTAATTAGAGGAGTATATCATGGTGCCTGGCTGGAAGATTTGTTTTTTTCACACAGGATATCCACACTTGCCACATATTTCTTCTTGTTAGTGATAGCTATCAGTTTATTGGAAGCTGAAACTTCCTTGTAACAGAAGCGAAAAATAGTTTTAGCATTTTAAAAATAGAATTTAGCTTCCTGGCACCGCATTTTATTTTGTAAAGGAGAAACCATGGCTTTAAGCATACCATAACTGTGATATTCATTACTGAGAATGCCAAGTTAGCCTCCAGAGGGACATCCTATTTCAGGAAAAAGAAAATGCTATTCCTGCACAAAATACTGATGGAGCTGTTGCAGATAGATTCAGCTGCATATTTATTTGTCAGTCCATACCTATTATGTAAGTCTCTTATTTCTTTTTTATTTCCCCAAAATGATTCCCTAAGAGGTCTATAACTTCTGATTGATTGATTGATTGATTGATAGATAGATTGATAGATATCATATAATGGTACAGATACACTGCAAAATGGGACAAAAGAATCTATGTGAGAGTCCATTTAGAGTAAGTAAACTTGCTGTTGACAGTTGAGGCAGGGGTAGGTGATGTTGTTTCAGACTTTGATCACAGCCTTTGTCTGACTTGGTTTTTCTTTTCACAGTTGATGGATTGGACAGAGCTTCCATAGCAAACTCAGATGGCCTCCCAACAGGTTCCCAGACACCGCCCTTCAAGAGAAAGGGGAAGCTGTCCACTATCGGTAAAATCTTCAAACCGTGGAAATGGAGGAAAAAGAAGACCAGTGACAAATTTAGAGAAACCTCAGCAGGTATGAGACTCACAAGTCTGTGCAAGCAGGGATACACTGTTGAATTTTTCAAAAGGTAGAAAACTGTATTTTGCAGGGTTTTTACAGAAAAAATTTAATTTATATTTGAAGCAAAGTTATTTCATTTAAGGGTAATTTTGACTTTCTCATATATGCTTGTTTTAAAATGTACATTTGTACATTCATATAAGAAATTTTACTGTGTGATGTAATACAACATTAGAGTGGAAATGTTATGTATCAACATTGTGGTGGCAATCATTTTTCCATATGCACAGTTACACATCTGTCTGTCTGGTTCTGGTAGCAGAGTCTTCATTTAATTAAATCATTTTAAATATCTTTGAAATTTTTTTTCATCAGCCAGATTTAAATGGTTGTATGAAAGAAAAGTGTGGTGGTATGTATTGACTGTAACTTTCCATCATGCCCTTGGGTTTGATAATTGAATCTCTGACGAGACCAAATGTAACCCATTGGCTTGAAAATTTTTCATTGTTAATTTAATTTGTAGATGTACTCAACCTGATGAATGATATTATTTAGTGTCTTTCTTTGGGGCCCATGGAGAAAACTGTCTTTAAATCTCAGACCAAATCAAAGCCCAATTTAAACAAATGCAAGATGTCAATGGTGTTTTGTTTATGGAAGAAGAGCTTTTAGCTCTTGATACACATCCAGCTTTCTCCAGGCTTACTGTCCAAAACTAATTTTTCTTCAAAATTCCTCATGTAACACAGTCTAATACTGCCAGTATATGCATGAAGTCATAGACCATACCTTTTGAAGTAGCCCTGGCTGTTAGTCCTAGAGCTATTAAAAAAAAAAAAAAAAAGTAGAAAATACTATACACAACTCAAGGGTATGCAATATGGCTAACAACACTCCCTGAAAAAGAAGTCGCCTCCTGTTCACTTACAGTTATATAATTTCTTTGGTTATTTGTTATTTATCAGGAAATAATGACAAGTAAGATGTCCTTCATAATTATCTTGGGGGGAAGGGTGGGGCAGGTAAAAATATAGAAGATTGGCCATAAGTTAATAAATTCCTTCTTCCTTCCTTTCATTTAATTATGATTGTCACATTATTTCTAGTATTAAGCTTAATAATAGGTACATGAGGTTGGTTCTCATCTCTATACTTGTGGGCATTAGAAAATAACCATAATAAAAAAACACAGAAAGAATAGAGACTTGGCTTAGGAGACCATAATGATAGCTTGACAGTCGATTCTCATCAGTGCCTGAGTGACTTCAGGGCTGGGAGTCAGTGGGACCTGGTGGACAGAGGACAAACTGAGGACAACTGGATGGTTGTCCACCACCAAGGCATCAGGTGATCTTGATCAAATCGTATTCAGCTGCTGGGCCTCAGTTTTCCGTATCTGCAAAATTGGGGAGCTGAGTGAACTGAATTGTGTTGTGCTTTAGTTCCAGATTCTGTTGTGAGTCCTCGGGGAGACCCTCAACTCCTTTTTGTCCCTGCAGGTCTCTTGTTCCTCCCTTGTCTTCAGGTGTGGATAGAACCATATTGGACTTCCTAAGAGTCTTCCTTTCCCATTTTCCTAAGTGGTTGGAGAATCTTGTTGTTCAGTTACCATGGTTACCAGGTTGCAAGTAGGACTGCAGACAGATAGTTGTGTTAAGAAGCTGATGAGAACAGAGGACAGAAAGCTCTTCAGTGTCTCTCTGAGGCTCTGCCTGACTCTGGACTGCTTACCTTTTTCTCCTAGAAGATATCTATTTTTTTTTTTTTTTTTTTTTTGTCTTTTTCATTTTTATCAGTACCGGGGATCGAACTCATGACCGCCTGCTTGCAAGGCAGGTGCTTATGCCGCTGAGCTAAATCCCCAGCCCTGATATCTATTTTTTTAAAACTTCCCCTTCCTCTGTCCTCTCACTTTCTTTTAATCATCAGTGATTGTCAACTTATTTCTATAAAGTCTATAATTTCTGCTGAAATATGTAGAAAACACCAGTGAAGCTTAAACAAATACACAAAATGGTGTGTAACATGTTAGTTTTTGTGTGTGTTGAACAAAGATGTCACATCTAGAGAAAAACTGACTTATTTTGAAATAATGAAGGAAAAGGTTTTTTTTTTTTTTTTTTTTTTTTTTTGTCTTTTTCGTTTTTATTGGTACTGGGGATCGAACTCACAACTGCCTGCTTGCAAGGCAGGCGCTTATGCCGCTGAGCTAAATCCCCAGCCCCTAAAAGGTTTTCTTTTTAAGAAATGATTTCAAAAATCATTAAAAGAAAAAATGATTTCAAGCAATGAAAGTGAGCATGTTTGAATATTATCAAAGCTATGTGTAGCTGGGCAATCTCTAAAACTCACCTTAGGAAAAACCTACCTTCTCTTAAACTCCTGGCTTGATATGCATGCTTGATTATCACACAGATGACTCTTACTACCTTCCACTGCTTAGTAATTAACACCATACCACTTTTCCTAGAAGGGGTTCTGTTGTAGGAATTTTCAGTTAGCTGTAGATGCAATGCTAATTCATTGATGCTGTTGTAATAACACAGTTTTGACAGGGAAGCAGGCCTGTGTTAGTGGTCCTTGTGGCAATTATTTTTGGGAATGCTCTTTCTAAGCCCAAAGAGTATCTTGTCCTATGAGGCAAACTGCAGTTATGCATCGATTTTCAGTTCTTTTGGCATTGTTTTAAAGCAGAAAGTTCCTGAATTCTCTGACTGTCCTTATTTATTAAGCAGGTCAAGAGAGTGACCCTTTTGCATCTACAGGGATACATCATTTAATGGTGAGACACATTTTGAGAAATGCCTTGGGGGGCTGTTTTACATTTGATGAACCCGTGTCACATAGTCAGAATGTCACATGAATTGCTTCCCCAGGTAGCTGTTCTTAGTGCTTTTCTTCTCCTAGGTGAGAAGGTCCTTTTTCAATATCACCTAAGCTAAGGGTCTGTCCATCTCTGTCTTGAGAACTCAGAATGTCATGTGCAGCTTTTTTCTTACATAAAAACTGTTTCCTGTTGTGTTGTGTTTTGTTTTGTTTATCTCTCTCTCTCTCTCTTATGCTCGTAATTTATCATAAAGCATTTAAGGGCCAAGATGGTCTCATTAATCTTTGTTCTGCTTTATAGAAGTGCTTTATAGAATAATATATATTTTTAAAATGTGCTTTGAATTGCTTAAATCCTGACTACCCCCTGTAATAAAAAATGCAGCACTGGGTACTTCAGGACTTCGTCAAAGAAACTGAGGATTAAAAAAGGATAATGAAAAAGAAGACACACATTAACAAACTAAGCAGAACTATGCTGATCATAATTTCAGCCCTCTACAACTCTTAAGCTAATAAAATAATTTGAGAAAATTTTTTCTTTCCTATCTTTTGTTCTTAATGAAAGATTTTCCCAAAGAAAATCAAAGCAATTTATGGCCATTAAAATTGTGGCTTTTATTTGCCTTGTTAATAACAGGAAAGGAATGCCTGTCTAGATTTTTAGATAAGTATTGGCGTTCTAGGAATCAGATTAATTTGGAGAGAGTCAGCTGGTAAACGCTGTAGTTCACCAAATTGCTCTGCATTTCTAATGATTAGAACAGCTACCTTTTTTTGTTTTAATGCTATGATGCATCTATCAGGTTCTAGCCTAAGACTTCATATTAACTCATCGAATCATTACAACAGCCTTGTGAAGTTTAAGAGCTACTATTATCCAGTTGTACCGATGAGGAGAGACTGGGCCCAGAAAATTCAGTTGAGTTGTGCAAGGAAGCAGACGCAGCATCAGAACCCACACAACAAGGTGCTATAGCCAGTGCTTTGGACCAGTACACCCTATTGCATCTTTGAAAGATGACTTCCTGCCCCGATCAACAGTGATCAGTCCTTGACAGGTGACACTAATACATCAAGTTGCTTCATACTAGGTTTTCCTGTAAAAGCATTTGGCCTGAAGAATAATTTTGTCCTACCTGATGGGCCTGATTTCAACAGTGCACATGGAGGAACATGTCTGAATAAGACCGAAATTATGTTCTGTCATAATAAAGTCCAATATTCTCCATAACTGTCGAGGCATTTTGTGGCTGCCCAGATTATTTCCACTATCTTATAAAATAGAGCAGCGGTAAAGGATTGGCCTAGGTGATATTTGTTAAGGACTTCTTTGTTCATGTTAATACATGACAGTATTTTGACTTCTGTCTCTCTCATTCCACCAAGAAGGTGGAAGTGCGTTTGTGTATCATACATCCTCTCGTCATACAGGGGGAAGAGGAGGGAATCAGTCCCACTTCCCAATATACTGCAGCAGAGTTACTGAACCAGGCCAGGGCCATGCAGCGCATGCAGGCCTGATGCGGGCTCCTTGCTTCCGTTAGAAGGCACTTGTTTGTCCTCTTAATACCTGCTTACCAAGCATTTTCATCTATGATGTGTCAGACACAGTTGTAGAACATCACCAACTTATACAGACTTCAGCAATGCAAAAGAGACCCATCTTCCTCCTCTCTTAGAGCCTGTGTTCTAGTGGGATAGGAGCCAGAGCAAACCCAAATGAGTTAGGAAGTATATTAGAAAGTGAGAAGAGACAAACACAGCAAGGGATTGGAGTAGAAAACATGAGAAAGACCTTCCAGTAGAGTGAGCAGGGGGACTCTGGAAAACTGGCATTTAAGCAAAGGCAGGACGCAAGGAGGGGAAGGGTCTCTGAGAAATCCTGCTGTGCAGTCACACGGGTTGCAGACAGCACGCGCTTCCTTCTAGCAGTGCCAGTGTTAACGTGCTGATTCTGGTCCATCATAAACTTAACCCAGTTACTTAATCAAATGCCTCACATTCATGAGCCTCCTACCGGATAATCTCGGTAGCCGTTGCCAGTGCCAGGGTTAACAAATCATGCGGTCTCACTCTGGGCAGTTCTACCAGGGCAGGAGCAGGAAAGCAGGAAAGGGATTTAACTGTGAACTTTTAGTTATGGCTTCCTGTCTTTATATCAAATCTAAGAGCCAGATTCT